AAACTCACCCACACCCAAACCCACCCACACCAAAACTCACCCACACCCACACCCACACCCAAACTCACCCACATCCACACTCAAACTCACCCACACCCAAACTCACCCACACCCACACCCAAACTCACCCACACCCACACCCACCCCACACGCTCATCACTAAAAGTTCAATTTTAAACCAGATTATATTATACTTCATTCTCTCACTCTCTTTCTGAAACGCAAATCTGCTGTGTCGATTGAACTGAATTTCTAAAAGCATCGTCACTGATTCTCTGAATTATATTTCTCTGAATCATTCGACAGGCTCTTGCTACTTAGCAAGTTTCTTGAACAGTAACGAAAAAAAAATTCAAATGAACTTTGTTGTGTGGTTATTCGTCGCACCCTTTCTGGTGTTCTGAAATTCTGCTCCTTTTATTGGAGTGAATTTCTTAGAACTTTGTTTTGATTCTTCTTCTCTGAATCATATACAAGTTCTTGCCACTTGATAAGTTACTTCAATAGTAACGAAAAACATTTCGATTTTACACCTTGTTTTGTGGTTATTCGTCTCCCCCTCACCTCAATGCTATCTGATGAAGATACCTTGAGAGAGGATCGAAACTAGTCGTGGCATTCTTTTCCGTGATACTTACCAGTTGAGAAAAGAAAAATCTCTGCTTAGGACATTTTTGTTCTGAACTAGGCTACAGAAACTTTTGAATCTTGGAAGTCTCGCAATGACTTATCAAGTTCAGATTGATCTATAGTTTAGACGATGCAGTCCAAGCGAACGCTACCTGATGAAGATCCCTTGAGAAAGGATCGAAACTAGTCGTGGCATGCTTTTCCGTGATACTCACCCCCAAAATGTAATATTTTAGGTTAATAAATTCGAAAGAATAGATCGATATAAGGTGCTCATATAGTTTTGGCCACCACTGTATACTTCGATCTATACAGTCTCCCGAATGAAAATTCAAGAAGAACTTTGTTTTTATTTTCATGACATTAAATATTCAAGAAAGAGATTCCATACTGTCAATGTTCGATCATTCAATTGTTCTTCTATTTTGCTTTTCTCCTTGTTTCGTTTGATCGATTTCTGTATTGAATTCTCAAGTTCATACCCCATGTTATTGCCCCATAGGTGAAGTGTAATGAGCGTCTGTGTAAAAATGCATACATTTAGAAAAGGAATTTATCAAGATAGAAATCAAGTCACATTGTTGTTTGTTACGGCATTGGCGAGGAATTGTGCTCCTTTTTGCCCGATTTTATTTTCCTCCAGATTAAGAGCGATGAGTGTCTGTGCGATATAAGTTGTATGTTGGTATGTCGTTGATGAAAGTAAAACTATGATCACCTTGTTGTTTGTTAATGCATTCGCGAAATATTCTGCTCCTTCATCTCCAATATTATTTTCTGAGAAATCAAGTGAGGTGAGTGTCTTCGTGAAAGAGTGAACGTCTTAAAATAAAGTCGACGAAATCATAAATATAGTCACCTCATTTTTTATCAAGGCGTCGGCGAGATGTTGTGCTCCTTGCGGACCGATGTGATTGTTTTCGAGAAGAAGTGTGGTAAGTTTCTGTATGAAAAAAATATGCATGTTAAAGGGTGACGAGAATAGAAATGTAGTTACCCTATTGTATATTAATAGATTGGCAAGATGGTACGCTCCTTGATCTCCGAAAAAATTACAGCCCAATTCTAGTGTGATGAGTACCTGCATGAAAAAGTTTATACATTGAAATGAGGTTGATGAAGCCAGATTTGTAATTACCTCGTTGTTTTTTAATCCATTGGCAAGATTTTCTACTCCATCGGGATTGATGTGGTTGAAGGAGAGATCAAGTGTGGTGAGTGTCTGTGAAAAAGGGCATAGATTGATATGAAGTTGATGAAGATGGAATGGAATAACTTTGTTATTTTTTAATTCATTAACGAGATATTTTACGCCGTCAACTTTTATAAAATTTTTGCCTAGTTTGAGTGTGGTAAGTGTCTGAAGTAAAAATGTGTGGATCGAAATAAGGTTTTTGATGATACAGATGTAGTCACCTTGTTCTTAGCCCATGCATTAGCTAAATATTGCGCTGCATTGGAATCGAAGCTATTGTGTTTTATATGAAGTGTGGTAAGTGACTGCACGAAACAATATATCTATTGATATGAAGACGTTGAGGAATAGAAATATAATTACCGTGTTTCTCATTAGTAGATTGGCAAGATATTGTGCTCCTTTATTGTGAATTCGATTAAGGTCGAGGATGAGTGTAGTAAGCTTCTGTCAAAAGTGTGTATGTCGTGATGAGATTTTTAAGAATAGAAATATAGTTACCTTGCTGTTAATTAATGCATTTGTGAGACATTCTGTTCCTTCATCTTCGATATGATTATCGTAAAGATTAAGGTTGATCAGTGTCTGTATGGGATATTATCTATGTTGAAACGAGAATGATGGAGTGAAAAATGCGATCACCTCATTCTTTATTAATGCATTAGCTAGGTGCTGCGCCCCTTGAGATCTGATATGATTGTCGCCAAGTTCGAGTGTGGTAAGTGTCTGTGTGAGAGACCATGTTTGCTGAAATGAAGTCGACGAAGATAGCAAGGTAGTCACCTCGTTGTGCATTAATGCAGCTGCGAGACTTTTTATTCCTTCATCCATGATACAATTGGTCGAGAGGTAGAGTGCGGTGAGTGTCTATATTATATACGTTGTATGCCAAAATGAGATTGATGAAGAGAGAAATTCTATCACATAGTTTTTTGTTAATGCATTGGCTAGATGTTGTGCTGCTTCAGGGAACAATTGATTCGCGGACAGATGAAGTGTGGTGAGTGTCTATGTGAAAAAAGGTATATGTTGGAATGAGGTTGTTCAAGGTAGAAATGTAATCACTTTGTTGTGTGTTAATGCATGGGCCAGATATTGTGCACCAGCAGATCTGATATAATTGTGGTCCCAGTTGAGTACTATGAGTGTCTAAAAAATATGAACAATAAAATGAAGTTTTCGAAGATTTCAATGCATTTACCTTGTTGTTGGCTAATGCATTAGCTAAATATTGTACTTCTTGTTCTCCCATACGCGTTCGTCGAAGATGAAGTGTGGTAAGTGTCTGTGTGAAGAGGAGTGTATGTTGAAATGTGATTGATGAAAACAGAAATATAACAACTGTGTTGTTTGCCAATCCATTGGCGAGATACTGTGCTCCTTTTCGTCCAATGTTATTATCGTCGAGATAGAGTTCAGTGAGTGTCTGTGTGACAAGTGCGTATGTTGAAACGAGGTTGAAGAAAATAGAAATTTAGTCACTGTATTGTTTGTTATTGCATTGGCCACAAATTGTGCTCGTTCGTATCCAATATTGCTTTCGCGCAGGTCGAATTTAGTGATTACCTGTTCGATAGAACATGTTGGAGTGAGTTTGATGAATAGAAAAATGGAATAATTAATTAGTCTTATTATGTCATCCTGGTGTCTGATCTAGGAGGAGAAATTTTTTCTGTTGATGCTGTGAGAGAGATGCTCCGCCATAAGACCAAGGTCAACACTCTTCGCATTAACTTGAGCAGTTGCTCTTTCTGGATTAGACAGGGAGACCTAACCTCGACCAGGCGCGTCCCTCGGGTGGCGAACGAGGGGATTCCAAAAGGGCAGCTCTGAATAATGAATCAGGAGCCATGAACCAAAAGGTTAGAACAGACAAAGGGAAAACCACTCTAACTAAATTTTTCCAGCAAATATGAATAACAGCTATAATAATATAACACTGGGTGGCGTTGAGACTCAAAAATTCAGTATGAGTGTCTTGCCCGACAGGAGGAGAACAGGGACTTCTCAGGTCGTCATCAAGCGAAATCTCCTAACCAAAGAAAATAAACTGGTAATTGATACATGGAATGTTCGAACGATGCTACAGACAGGTAAGCTTGCAAAACTGAAGAGAGAGATGGTAAGGAAAAACTGAATGTGGTTGGGTTGTGTGAAGTTAGGTATGCAGATTGTGGCGAATTCACAAGTGGTAAGGTCAAGATGATTTTTTCAAGTAAAGTAAAGAGTCAGAATGGAGTTGCAATTGTCTTAGACGAAAGAGTAAAAAATTGCGTAAGAAGTATAGAGTTAGTAAGTGATAGGCTTATGATGATAAGATTGAGAGCAAAGCCGAAAGATGTAGTGTTTATTCAAGTATACATGCCTACGAGCGCACATACAGATGAAGAGATAGAGGACATATATTCACAAATAGAAGAGTTGATAAGAAAAGAAGAGAAGGATAGTTATGTTGTAGTGATGGAAGATATGAATGCAGTTGTAGGTGAAGGAAAAGAAGATAAGATTGTAGGTAGTTTTGGATATGGAGTTAGGAATGATAGAGGAGATATGCTGGTTAATTTTTGCAGAGAAAATAAGCTCATAATTATAAATACATGGTTTAAAAAACATTTAAGAAGAAGGAGACTTGGAAGGCTTCTGGTGATAGAGCTAGATATCAGATAGATTACGTATTGGTACAGGAACGGTTTAGGAATAGTATAAAGAAAGCATATGCACATCCAAGAGCAGATTGTGCCAATCGACATATTATATTATATGATATCTTTACTTTCTCAGTGTGCTCTTGTACAATCAATGATACGTAGTGTTCATAAGCGCGTGACTCTTACATATAACCTTGTTCTCTTTCTGTCATAATGCGCTTCTCATTCTATATCACTGGTGACTCGTATATTATATGTATTGCGTTCGCCTTGTGTTCTTATCATATTGCTCCTCTATATGTGTTCTCTCCTTCACCTCTTCATCTCTTACTTTACTCGTGTATATCAACGCGTCCTTCCAACGACAACTATTGATTAACCGCGTAATGTGTAATCTTCAGTTATTTCTTCCCTCTTTCCTTTCCTCCTCTTGTATTGCAACATCTATTCTCTCTCTTCTCTCCCATTCCTCTCCTATATAAGCTCATGTTATGTATTAGATAGTTACACTTGGATGTAGGCACATTTGGGTGTAGGGTACATTTTCGTGTAGTGCACTAGTCGAATAAACATCATGCCCACAACGGGATCAAAGATATTTAATGTGCCTCTCCATTTGTCATAACGATAGTGGAATGCACTAGTAGCTCATTAACATCAATGCCCAACCAGTGGTAGAGCTGCATTCTCCATTTTCGTTACACAGATATAGACTGGGATCACAATTTAGTTATCGTAGAGATGGAACTGAGTTTAAAGGAAATTAAGAGAGCTTTCGTAAGGGAAAGGTAAGATTTAGAAAAACTAAAAGTTGCTATGGAAGATTCTGGAAATATTGTGGAAGAAAAGCTACAGACAGTTAGTGGGTGTGGAGATGAAGATGCTAATGAGAAGTGGATTAGACTGAAGGGTATGATAGTTGAGGCAGCAAAGGAAGTGGTAGGATTTAAAGAAAATGTGAAAGCTAGAAAACCGTGGATTAGTGAAAAAATGATAGAACAGATGGATGAAAGAAGAAAATGAAAAAATGTTAATAGTGAGATGGGTAGGCTAAAATATAGGAGGTTAAACAATG